CAAACCCGGATCGGATGGAGTCCGGGCGGACTTTCGTTTGTTATGCAGAGTGGTGAATTCCTGGAATGCACTGCCCAAGAATATGGTATTGTCACCAACGGTGCAGTAGTTCAAACACCGATTTGGCGCCTTTGGCCTTTAGTTTTTAGCTTTCCCTTCCCACCATTACTTTTTTGTTCTTAACGCTTTTTTTACTTTCGTACTTCTGTTTCTTATTTCACGTGACCAGTGAGGCGGGGACTGCCAGTGCAGGTCGCTTGCGTATTAATTGGTTGACCGTGGTGTGCCCTGCGCTTACTGATCTGACTTTCTAGATTCCGGCTATCGCGGACGAATAATACCTCGGATCACCGACGCGCCAAGGACGGAACACTCACGGGAATTGATGTTAATATTCCAGTCCCAGTTGCAATTGGAATTGAACTGTTCCTGCATGCACAGCAGTGGCCGCCCTCGATCGATGACGGTGGCTTCCGGTCTGGGAATGCGGAGCAGCCAATTGCGCATTAGGACGGTGATTGATTCATTGGGATATACTCTGTGGCCGGTGGTTGCCGATACAGTTCAGTTTTTCAATTCAACCGATTTCGCCGTTACCGATCACATCCGACTGTGTAGTCTTTGTGGAATGTTTTCACTGATCCGGGCTCCTTAACTTCGGGCAGAGCGCCCGACATAGTTGTCTTCGCAGCTACAAGTGAGTTTTTATACGCAGTATGATACGCATCACCATGTTGTCAGTGTCTTTAACACATGAGCAGAGGTCTTGTTTACGTGGGCAATTGCAATTTAGCTACATTGAACGCCCTATGCACTGAAGCACTAATACGTTTTGTGGGAATCTTCATGATTTGATCACCTGTTATGTCGGAGCCCCACGACTGCTTCCACCCACTAACGGTAGTGAGAACACCAACGACCGGGCAACAAACAATGTTCACGTCGAATGCCAAACCGGCCACCAAGCATCTGAGTGTGCAATTCAGTCACATGATTCAAATTAGGGCACATCACAGGCTATGCAGAAAGGCTAGCATTCGGTAAGTCAAGGCTGGTCATTTCAAAAAAGCGGAAGATCGAAAAGTTGCTTCACAAACGAGCGAAATACACCAAGAGAAAAGCTAATAAGCGTAAACTTCAGAGTCCATACAAGTTAATCATAAATGTGAGGCAAAAGCGAATGTATGCGGGGAACCGGAAAAGAGGGCAGTGTGACTAGGGGTGAGTGGGGTAAAACTCACAAAACAACGGGGATCGGTGGAGTATTCTTACCTCCTCTATAACATCGTCTTTGAACAATAGTTCGAGAAAGATCGGTTTCCTTAGAAATGCTGGTGCACGATCTCACTTGACTGCGTTAGTAAGGCTATTATAAACTGCAACGGATAACCGTTGGATTGTAATCTCTCGATAAACAACTCTTTCTTTGCTTCTAATATCTACTGGGTATAATCCATGTGGACTCGATAAAAGTGTCCGGGCGAGCGAGCGGTTGTGTTGTAACGGGGGGAAATTCTTAAAATCGGATATTGAATTGGCCAGTCTGGTTTCCGATAAAGTGAACTGATCGCACGCTGTGCGACCACTGTGACTTGATACGGGAGACAGTGTTGCACGTCGCTGTAAAGTTTGAGTGCATGTTGTTGAGTGTCCCGGTCGCACGCACCATGTCTTCCTCGGAATTCCTGTTAAGCACTCTACCACTGACACAACTCTTGTATAAAATCGCGGATCTTATGATATCATCTACATTCGCTTCATTTGTACCAATGAACACATTCGCTAACAAAGAACCTTGTGGACTGTCCATTGCAACACTGCCTATTTGTCCATCTGCATTTCCTTGAAACTAAAACTTGTTTCTCCTGCACTGGAGAAGTATGTGTTGAAACGTTTCCTTGGGGAGCTGTAGACGGATACTATGTTTTGAGATAAACCTGCAGAGCTAGTCAACAGTGAAGAGGGATTGTGCACAAAACCAACTCGAACCAACTTTACACCTTCCAAGTAAAAAGTAGTTCGAAGATGTTTCACAAATTATGCTTTTCAATGGATTTTCTGACAGGCTCAAGCTTACTGTTCAGCGTGGCACGGTAAATTGAATATGGAGATAACTGGTTTCATAGGCATTCCTGGTTTATGCACCTTGGATAGACCATACTTTAGTGGGGTATGAGTGCCCATAGGTTTCGGTGCTTTGTATTGGTCTTCGGAGATGAATCTACGATGTCTTATGACTGGTAGTTGGCGAAAAACGTGTTTCTCAACTAAACGATTCCATCAGGATGCTTCATCGTATTGTCAATCTAGGTATAGAATTCCTTGTAAACATGTAGAAATTTACTTCCTATCGGATTATGTGCGTACATGGCACCTTTCTAAGATGAGCTTGAGACTGTTACGCAGTAATAAACGAAAGTTTCTTGCGGATTTAAACAACACAATTGTATTCCGTATCCCTTCAAAAGATTATTTTCATCCACCATGTATAGTTCTATTGTTGCTCGATTGTACAACATTCGTACTTGTTTTACCACCCCCTACGCTGTGGCCATGTTTGCCTCTCTCCGATTCACCGTGTCTCCTCGTTGAACTACTGCGCTGACTTTCGCTCCTGTTCGCTTCATCATTCCCCGGTTACTTGTGGCCCCTCGAATATAATCCATCATTCATCTGCTCTCTAGTACACGACTTTTTAGAACTGGCATTTATTAATCCTATATTTCTTTATCTGAATGTTCTCACCGGTAGTAGCGATAACCGACAGCTTGGATGGTCTGTTTACCCCTCAAAGCAGCTGTATTTTGTCAGCTTCACGTCAATTTGGTGCCAGTGGACGCTTGTGGAAATCTTATATAGTCGTGCCACGCGAGTATGTTTGATGAACTTTCTGGCCGTTGAACACGGTAATTGTAAATGGTTGCCCTCGGAGATTCATCGAGAAGCACAAACAAATCAGCGCAATGAAAGCTCTGGTTTCCACAGTACCTAAAGCGACATTCTTAGATCTGCTCTTTAAAAGTTAAACTGCTAGACTGAATGCTAAAAGCCATGGGATCTCTACTAAGCAGAGCACTTTCTGTGCTTTCGAATTTGTCATCATCCACGATACTCATAAGCTGCCGCTGCCTCCACTGAAGGAGACTCAGCCCATTGGCGCCAACTCTCACTGCGTAACTGCGAAGCTAACTACGTAGACAGAACCGATAGGACCCTGAATTCCCGAATGAAGGAACACGAGCAAATGTGGATCCACTACGAGACTGGGGAGCAAGCAGAGCCAAGTCACACTGCGTGTTCACGCAGGCTCCGGCATATTAGGTTGGCGGACACTTGTTTACCTCGGGTCGTCGGATTGTGGTCACTATGGCGTTCCGGGTCCTCCTGCGCCACACCGATTCCCGACCCCTCCAGTTTACCGAAGCTGTTGCGACAAGTCCGATTAAACCGGTGTTTGCGCTTAAAACAATTATCGACCAGCCTTAAGCTGCCCTGGACATAGGGCCGAGACACCCGTTTTACTCATATTGGTTTTTAGTTACGAATCCTTTAAAGGTTGTATATAATTTCTAGCTATCTTTATCGGCACTGTTGGTAGAATACGATATGCATGCATCTGTTAAACTTCGTCTCCTCGTCGTACTTTTCAGACATAATGTTGAATGCTCTGAATTCTGCCACCGATTCCGTATAAGGGATCCGCCGCGTAGGGTATTCTAAGGAGATTCTGATGCATTCTCAAACCTCATTTCCGCGTTTACTTGAATCATGTATGGCTCTATAAGAGTTATGGAAGCCCTTCGCGTTAGGATGAAGTAGACAAGGTTGCCACACTTCCGTTTTTGTTAACTTACTGATAGCGTTAAAAATTGAAACATCTGCCTCGTTCAATTCATCAGCAGTGATGGCTGTGAGGTCTACCAACAGGAGACCCACATTTCAGCATCTTCCAAAGACGATATAATGCAGGCTGGTTACGCTAGCATGCTATCGGTTTCCGCTATTGCGAAACAACCAATATAAGTATTCGACAAATTTGCTGTTTTGGTAGGTGCATCACACATAAGACTTTACGCCGGTGAGGTCTCCGCGCATATCATTAAAGTCCGTGTCGCTTTTCGAAGCGTTGTTCTTTTTTACAACAGTGTAGTTCGAGTTTTGTTGTTTAAACTCCTGGCGCGTGGTACCGTCGGTGGTTTTCCTTCCTTGCAAATATGTTCTGCGGTTAGTCAACAAAGGGCCATCTACGATTTCACTACCTTCTTCGATTGTGTGTACGAATCGTACTTCAAAACATTGATTGTTTCCACACAATGTGATAATCAGTTTAAGTGAGATGCATGTTGCTGATATCATTCCTTAGTTCGATCGATTTTGTGTAGCATGTAGCCTGGTTGGCTGGACGCGTTCAAAAAAACACGATCTGGGGCGGTAAAATCTTGGCTTTGTGGACATGTGGGGCTTAATTTGTCTCCGGTTATTGAAGCATTTTATTAGAGGCTAACCCATGGCTTCTTGTGTGAATGAGTTTTGAACGTCAAAGCATTACTGGAACGTTTGTCATATTCCAAGCTAGTTGGCTATCATATATGGAGGAGAGCATTAGGTGACCACTGGTTCACCATCGCGGGAATCACCGGTTTTTACGCTCTTTTCGGATTTGCCAGTCTGTTGTGAGAACCCCTGCAATGGTGACCACCTTGATTGCAATTAATAAACGTAAATGGTAGTCAGTTGATATTATTTCCATCCGTCTGAAACTTCACTGACATGCTGACTTCGTGGTAGAAGCTTCACAGTTTTGAACTCCTTGGGACTGCGGGGAATATGTTCCATAGATAAGTCCCAAAGAAATGAAACTGCTCAAAATTTATCTTGACATTATTGATAATTTGGCTGAGACCCACGGTCAAATACCTTGCCAAATAGCGATTAACTAGGACTCATATCAGCCCTCATCTTTCCAACTGATGTTTAAGAATGAGAACTAATGTACTTACCTTGATCCATCCGTCTTATTTTTTGTTTGCATTTTTCCGAGCGCAGTCAATTTTTCTGCATCCGGTTTTGTGGTGGGTGCTGGGACATACGTATAATTCAGTTCGATCAACGCTCTCTTCCGTATATCCGTCGCCCAGTAATATGCCTGCAAACAACGAAACGTTTCCTGTGGTAAAGCGGAACATTTTTTTACGTTACTTTGTCACCAGGAAATTTTCTTTACCTGACAAAAGTAGATCATGGGTTCAATAGGACAGTTGTCTATTATGGTGGCAGATTAATAGACAAGCTAATCAAGGACTACAGCAACCGGCTCAGTAAAAGAATGAAATTACATTTAGTTTGTTCTAATCTATGTGTTCGTTGCCGCAATCGGTTACTAAATAGATGGAATTTTCCTCCATAAATAAGTTCAAATTTCATACGACGTGACGCCCCGGGCTAAAGTTCGTTACATCACTATCAGTGTACGATTCTTTGTCGATATGTTGCAGTTGTCTCATAACATGGCACACTCTTCTTTTTGTACCCTACCTCCTTGAGCGTGCTTGCTCGTCCATTTTCTTCGCTACCTACAAAACAGCTATCTCTGAACTAGTGTCACATAGCACTGTCAAACCAGGGGACCGAGCGAAACACTGGTTAGAATCTAATTCAGGGCCCACGCTTCACAGTATTCCAGATCGTCTATTCATCCAGCTTGGGGAGCCTGGATAATCGGTGGATTTTCGGAAGATTGATTAGCCTAATGCATCCACAATTGACTGTTCCGTTGGAGTGCCGATCCAAATTCCATCTGACCTGGAGCCTAGGAATCGACCAAGAACGATGGTGCAATATGAAGGCTCGAAAGATAGGGAAAGGCAGATCTATTGGGAGCACCAAAGTTTTGTTTTAACACATTTGAGGCATGCTTCCAAGAAGCCATCCCACGAGTTAACTAATATCCAGAAGGTAGTAGCGACTGCTTCACGCTCAGTCACGTTGATTGCAATAAAGATTCAATCAGTGTGGTGTAAAAATGCGTTACCCGGCTCACTTTAACTCACCTGGGATGTAACCGTGGCGCCTAACACCACGGGTGGGCCTTGACACCATTTTGTTCTCATGAATCGGAACAAGGTGTCTGATCCAAACGAACTTACACCGTCGTGGCTCAAGGACGGTGACGACTGCCTAGTAACTGTCTTATCCGATCTGCTCGACTCTATCTGACTCGAAAGGGAAGCGCTTTCTGACTGGAAGATGACAAATCTCATTACCGTCTGTAAAAGAAACCAAGGTACCTCATGTGAAGCTCATCTTAATATCAGTCTCACTCGATCGCCTCCAAAGTGTGATATTAATGAAAGACAAGTCTGAAAGTCAGGCTCACTCCTTCAATACAAGATGCATCAATCATATTTTTACTCACCACAAAATCCTCGGAAGGTACAGTGATTACCTTATAGCATCAGCCTTCGTTGACTCGAATGTTGCCTTTGATGCCTTACTGATACCTGCTTGGGTTAATGCCTCGCTCCGAGGTTTCCTTTGAGAATCTTCTCTGTTCTAAGTTGTCTACACCACGATTCTGGTCGCCGTTTGTGGGTCTATGGGAGTTCATCCTTTGAGTCGCACACAAAAGTTAGGCGCCGAATATTTGCCGTGTTCTGTGAACGGTTTCACTATGTTTTCCACCTATTCCGGAGTCGAGGTCCTTTTATATAACTGAATGTCATGCTTCAAGCACGTGGACCCTGCTGCTATGCAAACGCAGTTGAATAGGTCGACGTATAGCGTTGCCCTTCGGGAGGTACATTACACCTGCAAAGTATTGCTATAGTTTTCAAAGTCACCAGGCATTCGCTCCAATACTCCAATCGGTTTGTTCATTTATATGACTGTATCACTTCTGGTCATCACATGGCCAGTGTGATCACAGCCCGCATTATCAAGACTCATAGTTTTTCAAAGCATTAGCCACTTGTAGAGACCGCGGTAGCGTCAGCCGTATGCCGGCACATGGTTCCGATGTCTCGCTACCACGCGACTACCACCAGTCGCACATTGGCTTGGGGTACCGCTAGGTCGTCCGCACCTACGCCCATTCGAACTGGTGTCTTATGGATTACATTGCACATGTCATATTCCCTCGGGCACAGGCCGACTGGAGGTCCTCAGCTATCAAGCCATTCGTCAAAGGAATAGGCGACAATGCTGCGGTTATGTAGCGCCACTGTATAGGTTAGCAATCTGGCCGCCGCGAGAACGGGACGTTAAAATAACCACTCTTGCCCACTGATTCCTACACAAGGTTGCTCATGTTATGTAGCTTAATTGACTGATTTCCACCGCAGTTGGTTATCTGTCGTTCGGCGTTAAACTCTCTCACTCATTACTAAAGAGTCTGTTAAACCCGAACCACTTTCGGTATCTCGGTCATGTAGTGCGCACACAAGCTAGCCGGTTACCTCGGCATATATTGTTTGCCAATACTTTACTTTATTGAGCGAAACCCGAGGTGCTCAAACGGTTACGTAGCAAACGTGCATGACGGAAATTACTACAAGGTTGATTCAAATTCATGCTTGTCGTCTTCCTGAGTGGGGTCTTTGTGGACAGCTGCATAATTAGTTCTATCAGATAGCGTACAATCACTAAGCTAGTGAAGCCAATGCCTTCGTTTCCTAATTTCTAACCCTGGCTACTTAATCCAGCTATTCTATTTCTTGCTCATTTCTCTAATAACAATAGTGTCTTGTTAACATGAGGCATGACAGCTGGATCCACCATCTGTTAATTTTGATTGATGAAATAAACCAGGATTAACCGTTATCTGCAATAATTTACCAGTTTATATTCCTTTTTTCACTACTATCAAATATGGAACAAGGTTCTGTTGCCCTAAGATTAACAATTATGAATCTCATGGAATGCATGGTAATAACAGCACTTTTATGTGCACTTCTTCTGTCTAGTGCACAATCATAGTGTTATACAGTAGTCTTGGAAGCACCTACAGGGAGCTTATTGACCATATTTGCACTCGTTCTGCAAGCAGATGTTTAGTTCTAGGGAATTTTCACATCCCTGCGGTGTTTTTGGCTGATTTTCTATGCTATTCAACATCAGGAACATTCGGTTCAGACCAAGTGCCGCTGTACCAATTCGTGTACCTCCTCACTTTGTAAGTGGACACCCAAATGCCGTCTACTTCAAATCTCCTTTACGCAAACAACATCGTAAGCGACGTTTCATGCATGTATGCATATGCTCCTATGCGTTCTTTCTAAGCACGATCTGATTACCGCTGTGTTGCGTATAAATATTTAATGGGTGGACTATAGTTTAATGCGAGACAATACTTTAGTTTTGGACTGCGAGAACTCGCTGGCTGGCTCTGCATAGATAGCCTTAGATAAATTAAAGGCGTAGAATACAGTGCTTTGCTCCATACATGTTACTCATGAGGAAAAGGGAAATATAGACATAGCTCCAAAAAGATAGATTCCATGGGTAAATACCTACCTGGCAAACCTACCACGCAGCTCCATCAGACAAAACCTACAACAGTTATTAGGTGCTGAGGAATAAATATTAGCATTATCTCTAGCCTGTTCGTCTCCAATACGAGAAGCATTTAACTGACTTGGCCGCCATTAATCCTACGATCGTTGCTTATTTAAGGAGGCGCAGCAGTGCAACTCTGTGTTAAGTGACACGGACACGATCAAAAAGTCACGATGGCGGCGGGCGGAAAACAGGCGTTTATTCAGTATAGTGTAGCCTATTTAAAGGAAATAAACACTGTTAATCATCGAGCCTTCTCAGTGGGTCTCCTGTTTTTCGGCTCACCTCATTGGTTGCGTTCCCCTTTTATTTCATTGGGTTATGTTATTCCTCTTCGGTCGCTGTCTTCCTGTCTCGCGCAATGATCACGTCTTTCGTGCTTGACATCCGATTGGCCGTATTTCTTTGAACCGCTGATATTTGGTTTTGCACTCTGAAACTTGCCGTTAATAGCGATTCTCGAGTTGCCAGTGCGCCCTCTATGTTCTATTGTCCAATACGGTTTGTCGGTTTCTGGATACGTGTGCCACTCGTGATTCGCTGTCCAGCCATCGCTGTGTCTCCCGGTGGGTTCACGCGCTCTCTCGATCGAACTGATCCGCTGACTCCGGTAACCTGCGCTTAGGTGGTAAGGTCGAGCATACTGGACTGGTTTCCTAAACCCCTTTACACTCTGTAACAGCGTTACTGGGTGTAACGAGTAACCGTGTTTGTATACACAACGAACAGTATACCTGGGCCTTTTCAAATGAGACCTCTTTACCACAGGTCGAATTGGTTTCCAGTAGCTCAGAGCATTCTTGCTTAGCTTATTTTATCACAGCGGAAACACAAGTCTTCTGGCTATTGCAAGGCACACGCACCTCTAAATCATCCAACGAGTAATAAAAGTATTCAGTTAGTCAAAAGCTGTTGCATGAATCATCCCCTGAACTGAGTAGTCTCTCACACGGGATTTCAGAACCGCATGACTGCTACGCCTTGAATCCGAAATAGATAGATGTTATTATGTGCCCAACTTTAAGGGCGGGGAAAGCAGTCTGCAAGCGAACTACCGGCCTGTCAGTTCGGGACAAGCAGTAGCCGTTGTTTGAAAATTTCTTAAGCACGATGTAGAATATTCTGAATAAATTTATTCTTCTCAATGTCGTTCAACAAAGCTTATGCAATGGTTTCGTTGTCCGCCTTTCTCTTAGGCGAGCTCTTCTTAGTTGCATTCCGCAGAGCTTGATATCTTTTGTTGCCCTTCACGATTTACTTACCTGAATTTTCGGGGCAGCTAGAATTGCCGTCGCCAGTATTTGCTGAAAATATTAGTCTCCAGAATATCACGGTAGCCTTGAGGGCTCTGAGATGATTTGCAATATCTTTGATAGGCTCTGGGAATTGACTGCTTTATGGTTGTTATTCATAAATCGGGCTTAATGTCCAGTTCCCGAATAGGATTTGCTAGCCCTCTTATATGAGATGTTGTCAGTGTTGGTAAAATCTTTGCTGTCACTTATCAGGCTGAATTAGGTGTCGTCCAATCACCGGCTCATGACTTTGACAATAACTGGAGGTGGTAGGTATGAAATAGATGTTCCTACGAAGTCTTAGCGGCCGATATTTTCGTAGTTTTACGGATTTTATTCAACCGCAAATGGAATAATTTATCCTTACCTATCCATCATGCCTTACCCAAGACAAAGCGGATTCTGAGGGGATTTTCCGCCTTTGTCCTAGGTTAGTGCAGTGTTTATTGTGATAGACGTGTCCACGATGCTTTCTTAATCTTGGAAGGTACTCAAAGCACTACGGGGGCATTAGATGGGAGTAGATCTTCAATTAACGTAGGTTGACGGGTAAGAGCGCATTGAACTTGTCCAAGCTACTTATTCCCGCTAATATAGCTTATCTCTAATTACCAATTTATACTGCAAAAACAGCTCTCTGATCGGATTTAGACGAAAACCCGTTTATCGCATCATGTTATGAAGCGCTGCTCCGCCTGATTAGTGGAGCGATGGTTATTGATTCTGCAAGTCAGTTAGATCCCCTTGAATGGTAACACTAAACATGTCCCCTAGCTGACGTAGCTTTAATTGACACTTCTTTTTTACTCCTGACAGCTTGATATTATAATTACTTACGTGATTTCCTATTCTTCCGTTCAAGTTTTATTTTTCTCTTTCAATATACGTAACCGGCCCAACATGGGCTGCTAGCACAGAATACGAGTCAGGTAATCTTTTGGCAGGATGTGATCGTTTTTTATGTCCATGCACATTTCAAAGCACATGGTCAGTTCTCGTTACGATGAGCCGCTGAGAAATGAAAACTCGCTGGATAAACCTCTAGTTTTAATCCAGGTTGGATTTGTACTAACTGCAACAGACTACCGTATTCCAACCAAATTCCATAGTGTTTAGCATTGAACTGCATAAAAATTCATACTTACTTTAGCCTCTTGTTCTATTCGACTTTCTAATTCCTTGGAGAGTCGATCCATATATTGGGAGTAATCCGTCAGTACATCAGCTTTTTCTTCGTCTAAGTCCAAATGGTCCATGATATTCGATCCTTGTTTTAGGCTCCTGTTGACTACAAGGTTGCTAAACAGTAATGTGACTTGTTCACCTATCCGCAATATCACCTTCGCTTTCGGTATGTGTTGATCAGCAACAAAACAAGCCCTCTTATAGTAGTCGTTAATTTCCTTCTGTATTTCGTACCTCGTTTTCCATTCGTTGCCTTTTAGTTTTAGCAAATTATATGTAACCAACTTTCATCGCGGACAGATTCTATCTGCCGTTCCACAATATCCACTGATTTTGCAAGCTTCTCGTTTGTGTTGCGCAAGACATCTCTACTTTATTAGTTAAACTGAAACTAACAACCAGATTTTCTCCTGCGCGACATCGTCGGAATGTGCAATAGAAGCCAATGATTCCTGCAAGTCCTTCATAGGAACCGACGATCTCGCGATACGTCAATGAAGGAAAATCTGCGGAGGTGGATTGGTACATCTTAAAGTATCGCGCCTAGAATACTTGACACACAGTAGAAATTGTTGTCTGAACTTGTATATAGTTGCGTTCATAGCAACTGTATGAAAGTATTATTATAATGCTAAGCTATTGAATACTGCCTAGTACTTTAGCAGTTTGTAGGTCTTGAAAAGACATAATTTTAATTACACTTTTATTGCAAGCATTTACCAACCTTTATTTGGTAATGCGTAACCTTTTCGTATTTAATATCTATATTGCGCTTAACGTTTTTCTAATAACCATATTTTGGTTTTATGGCAGAGAAAAACACAAACTTCAAATTCGCTCGTCTCGTGAGATGGTTGACGTTTAGTTCACCAGAATTAATCAGTTGTTATTTGTTGCTATTAACTACTGCCGTTGATTAACGTATGCCAACAGTATTTGAGCCAATAAAATATTTTTAAAACACTGCTTTTTTTAAACTAATTAGTACTGCTTACCGGGGTATTACGAAACTGCAACTGTTCACATTCACACACTGGTTTGGCGCTTTATATTGTATTGATGGTTTTCAAATATTCTTTTGTCAGATTTTAAATTTAAGGTGGACTGGAACGATAGGAATATCCCATGAGTGTTCCTTCTTGAGCAAATCGTTGAGCCAGGAAATGATAAGGTGCTAGGTTTTGATAGATCTAAAACGTTACAACCCGAAACCCACCCTGATCAACCGATTACTGCACACGTTCCCTGCACTAGCAGTCCGCGCTGTGTAGGTTACGTGCAGTAAGAAACAAGTAGAAAGTAAATGGAAGATATAGAGGAATGAAAGTCATAAAATGAATGATAACCCCAACGAGTGAAGAGAATGACAGAATAAGAACTAATAGTTTGAAGATGGATATTGTCAGGGGATGGGAAAGGTTTCGTGTTGCCATCCAAGAGCGTCTAACTGACACTCGAAACCCTTAACCGTAGGTTCACTGACTACACTTTCTGGAAGCGAGTTCTAGCGCTCGATAACTCTACGCGATAACCGAGTTTCCGCCCTGAGCATGTGAGAACGCGGCTTGTGTAGCTTCATGGGATGACCGCGAAGGCAGGGCAACCTATCAGAGCTAAATAGCTTGCTCAAGTCCGGTCCAACCTTCCCCGCTAAAATGCGGTAAGTAAGGATTAGGTCTCCTCGAAGCCGTCGGTAGTGCATTGAATACATACCCAAGCTAAGTAGACGCTCGGGGTACGATTGCCCCCTTAACCCTTCAACCAATTTGGTACCTACTCTCCAAACCCTTTCGAGCTCCATTTTGTCCCGAACAAGGCAGGGCGGGCAAGCATGAACGCAATATTTCGAATGGGGCAGGAAGAAAGCTGAGAACAGCTTCACAAATATGTCAGCAGTTGAGACCCCGCAAGAAAGGCGTATTAACCACAACATTCCGAAACCCCTACTTGCGACTTTCTTCCAGTTGTCACCAGAATGCAAAAGCAAGTAATGGACAACGCCTAGGTCTACCTGGTTGGAGACAATGGGGATTTCCACTCCACCGAGTACGTAGCTCGAAGGAGCGAAGGACGGAACACCTAGCCTGATTTATGGGCAGTAGTCACAAAGTGGACCAGGCCCAGAGTCTGTCTAGTGCATGTTGTATGGCCTCAGAAACCCCAGGAACATTTACAACCTTCCATAGCTTAAGGTTATCAGCAAAAAATAGGGATGACACCCCAAGATCACGTTTGTTTAAAATGCCGCAAACTATTGCAAAATGCTGTTAGTTCGTGGCTCTCGTTGGTCTATAAAGGTATCTTCGCGATCAGAAGTCTGTGTAAGCAAACGTACAATCTCCGTACTTCTTCATTAAACTTTTACAATTACATGAAATGCAAAACCTTTTGTATAGAGACCCAACAGGTCGTAAGCCAATTTGTTCCTAGTGAGCTGTGGCAAGCCGTCGGTTAGGTTCCAGTTGTAGTACCACGTGCGTATAGGTCAACTGCAGTCCGTCCTGGCCAAGGTAGGCTCAGTGCGTGCATGAACTTTCCTGCGCGCACAGTGCTGGTTTGTACAGCCGAATGGCGTTGGCTTCTGCAGCGTTTAATATCCGCTTACGCAAATACATTGCTCGATTTTCTGGGACCTGATAGATTACGTTGAACGAATCAGCCAACTTGGTGGCGTGACCCGTATCCGCAAGATGCGTGGCGATGGCAGGGCTGGTGACCTTTTAACCTCCATTCCCAGCCAGGGCGTATGGTGTTCCCTCACCCTTTTGGATAAGCGAATTGTAGGACGACCAACATAGCCTGCTTCATAGGAAAAGGTAACTTCGTAAACACCCATTGCTTTGGTGTAGACAGACAGCTTACCCTTGAGGCTTAGTCTCACCATTGGGCTGCTGGTGAACCGGATTTGTAGTCTAGCCGCTGGGATGGAATTCCTGAGTATGAACGAGAGACGGCTGGATAGATTCACTGATACTATTTTCCATTTGTAAGGCAGTTGTAGGAAAATAGGTTTCCGTTCCGCCTCGGGAGCATAGGTGCCTCCTTGTTTCACCCCATTTCGGCTTTAATCAAATTCTCCAAGTACCCATTCTCTTTAGGCGTCTATCGTATTAGCTGCAACTCTTCTAAACGAGTATCATTCGAGCAGATTATTTCGGCCCCGGTCACGAGACTGAATACCAAGTTTCTCTTCATCCGCAGCGGCGCAAAGCTATGAAAGCATGCGTACTGTCCATTCCAAGTGCAGTTTAGATAAACGCTACGTTTTACTGCACCACAATTACGTCTTTGTAGAGCTACATCGAGGAAATGAAAAGTGCCGTTTTCTTCTTCCTAGTAGGTGAAAGGTATAGACGTTTGAGCCTGGTTAAATACGCTGGCATGCTTCTCAATGTCACCGCAGTTGTCAACTTCGACGAAGATTCCATCTGCGTAACGGTGCTATAACGTAAGGCTACTGATGGCCGCTTTCAATTTACCCTGTTCCGACCTACCCATGAAAACATCAGCGAAGAATGGTCCAAGGGGGAACCCATTGCAACACCATCGCTCTGCCGGTATATATCCCCGTGGAATTGGAATTGAACATGAAATGTACACCTTAGCAGTTATGCTTTCATGGCCAAAGTTGGTATGCCAATATTAAGGTACTTCTCATCAACAAAGTTGCAAATGAACCTAATCTTTTCAAATAAAGGCACATTCGTGAACAGCGAGGTGACGTCTAGGAAGCACATAGATTGGTTCGTGACGTCGACATCACGCACTGCATTTACAAACGCAAAAGTTCCCTTTAGGTTATGTACAGCAACCCGTCTACGCACAGGCTCAAGAAGTTTTACCAACCCACGAGCGATCAAGTAATATGGGGAGCTTCTCATGTCCAAAACTGGCCGAAGTGCACGGTTAGGCTTGTGGGTTTTGTGAAGGCCGTAAAGCCTTAGAATAACCGCGTCCACGGGGCGTAGGTTTTCATAGACCGCTTTACTGATATAACCTCCATTCTTAAGCTTTTTGAGACAGACGCAAATTTGATTTTCTATCTGCTTTTTTGTCTCGCTCACCAGTCATTTTCCAGGATTTCATATTATCTGCCAATATTTCACCAATCTTGTTGAGGTAAGTCGTTCCGTTTAGGATAAGAATGAAGGCGCCAATATCTGGACGGGTAAGCAGAATTTGATCACTCCTAAGTGCTCGCTGCAGTGCTTGCATATGCTCCTGTTTCCCTGGTGTTTTGTGCGGTTTTCGTGCACACCAGTATCGCCAACCGGCATGCACCAACAGGGACTTCAACTCTTCTGCATGCAATTCAGAGGTCTGGATCGGTTGCGAAATCTCTGTGTAGACGTTTTCGAACTGTGCCTCTATTGCCAGTCTGTTATGCTTGATAGTAGGGAGGCAGATATTTGGACCCAATGATAAGACTTCAGTACAAGTACCAGCAAGAAGGTAACCGGACAGAATTTTGACGAATATCTCAGGTTCGGTCGGGAAAATCATCGTGGTTCTCTCTTTCTTTATTGTCTGTGGGTGAAATGCGTAACTTTGCTTCTTGCTTTGTGGTAATTGCTTTAATCGTTTCCTCCTGTTCTTCCTGTTCACTTGCGGATAGCCTGGCTGGGACAGCACTCACTTGGCTCGGTGCACACTTGAGCTGATCTCTCTTGATGCGATTGGTGTCTATCTGACACCGCGCTAGACGTTTCAGGCATATATGGTAGGTCTGATGCGTGAACCACGAAGGGATTTCCAGTAGCTCGTTGGGTAGATGTAGCTTTTAACACGCGTATTAAGAAAACCGAGACACACATCCGCCTTCGCGATCCTGAGTTTGCAGCTCACATATCTGTTGAGCAATTTCATAACAGTAGGGTCTACTCGACGTTTAATTGAATTGAACACTCGTTGATTGATCAATGGGTAATTCAGTATCAGGCTTTTACGAGTATATGAGATCCAAATTTTTGTATACACACCCAACGGGTCGGCGGTCAGCCAAATTGATTCTAGTGCGCTGTGCAAAATCGTCGGTTAGGTACTTCATGAATAAGTAATTTTGAAAGTGTGCAACCATTAGCTTAGGATTCACAGTTTTGTAATAAAATAATTTTAAAATCTATATTACATAGCGACTAAACTGGGGGTCGGTTTATATCAAGTGTTGACCTACATGGTGTTAACTAACCCACACAAACCTCCATCTATTTAGAAACTCATAACTTATTTTTTATGTTTCTTATGTA